AATCTCAAATGAATACTATTTAAAATATCTGTGGGTTGGATAACTGAGGTTATAAGAAAATTAAGGATTCCATCAAATTTAATGGGCACATAAAAATGTAAACATACATTTAAGTGTCTATTGTTTCACTTTTTTGTTAGAAGAAAAATTTCATATTTTAAGATTCTAAATACAAATTCCAATAAAGTTATTGATATTCATGTAGCAGCGAAATTCTTTGAGACCAAATAAATGGTGATATAGTTTAAATGTAGAGATATGTTCTGTGAAAACCAGAATATATATTTTTTGCCAAGAGACTGTACATATTTGGCATTTAACATATTTACAAAGCATAATTTTGACTATAAGATTTATAATGTTATAACTCAATTTAAGTTTTAATTGAATAATATATTTACCCTGCTTTAAATTAAAATCTAAATTTATTAAAATGACTTTGGGATTATTTTATTTATTTAATTTGTTAGATATATAAGAAATATTTAATATGGATGGTTTTGTTTTTTAGGTAAGAAATTAAAGTTCATAAAAGTGACATTTAGCTTATAAAAGGAATATTTAAGGTGTGTAAGTTTATAAATAAAACTAAACATTATTCACAGACTTTTTAAAAGTAGTTAAAATATGCTATAAATATTAATAGGAATTAACATTTACAAGATAAATTTCAAATTCTTAGAAGAAATACCCGAGTCTCAGCAGTATTGTGGAAATTCCAACCTAGAGTGAAAAGGAATTGCCCTGTGATGTACACGACAGATAAATAGTGAATTTTGTGAAGTCTTGAAATACTTGGAAACACTGAGCAAATGACTTCAGTGTTTGTGGTGTGGTCTTTAAAAACTTCTGGACTAATATTATTTTGGAGAATTCAAATATAATTTTCTATTTTTATAGTTTATTCCTATCTGTGAAAACATTCATTCTCCACCAGTTTACCTCCTTTCTGCCAATATCCCCTCTCACTGTGGTAGTGGGGAGCAATTACCCTTTCTTCCAGAGCCAGTCTTCATCTATTACCCCAGCATGTGATTGTACATTTTTTTAATAGTCAACTACATTAGGAATCATACAATATATTACCAATCATATTAAATGTCTAAATATGCAACTCAAAAGGATGAATTGGTATGAACTTTACTCAATCTTTCTAGTTCAGAGAGCCCACAGATCCTGCACCAACGGCTCCATGTGTTCAACATATACTTTTCCATGGTTTCCTGTGTTGAGAGAGATTCTTGAACACACAAAAAAAGTACTTCTTGAGAGAGATCTTTGGCTTATTTAAGTTGGAAAGCTGATTCTCTTATTCCACATGAAGAACATTTTTAACTTCTAGGTCCTAAGAAGACTGGGGAGTGGGTCAATGCTTACTGTGTCCTCCTACCCACTTTTTTTTTTTCTTAAATGAGAAATAATAGTAAATTATATAATCTTAAATTGAATCTGCCATCTTTATTTTCACAACATTGACCATGGGCAATAAGGATAAACAATGAATCAGATACAATTCTAATTTTCCATTTTGAGTACTTCGATGGGTGAGGTTGCCATTAACTGGACATCTTTGGCAGTGGAATTGATAAGTTTAGCCAGTTGGGCCTCTCATTCTTGGTTTTGGCTCAGGTCATGATCTCGCGGCTATGGAATTGAGCCCCTTATCAGGCTTTGTGCTCAGTGTGGAGTCTGCTTTAGATTCTCTCTCCCTCTCTCTGTCCCTCTTACTCACCCTCTCTCAAATAAATAAATAAAATCTTTAAATAAATAAATAAGAACATAGGTAATTAAACCAAACTTAAAGAATTGTGAATATTATCAAGTTGGTAAACATGTAAGTTTTTCCTTTTTTGTTCCTTTCCCTATATCACCCATGGCTCCCCACTTTCCCCTTCCCCTCCAGTTATACATTTCTAGCACATCCCATGTGTTTCTCCTTTCTCTTCATTACTTTCCACTACCTCACTTTCTTCTAATAGGAAATTAATTGTGATGCTATTTATCAAAAAAGAGGTAAGAGCCTCAGATATACTTTTGTTAGTGTGTTTTATGACCTGGTGTGGTTAAGATCAAGTTACTAAGCTTGTTAAGAAGAGAAGCTCCAGTTTACACTCTGATGTCAGAGAAACCTGATTGTGAGTCTTAATTTTGCACCTTACTAGCTACATGTTATTGGGATGCTATTAATTTACTTCAGTCTCAGTTTCCTCATCTGCAAATTAGAGTCTCTACCTCACAAAGTTATTATGCAGATTAAAATTTAAAAATACACAATAAATTCTTATCATAGGATTAGGTTCTTAATAAGTATTTAACAAGTATTGTTTTTATTATCATTTTCAAGATGATAACTGAAGCTATATTAGTGAGTGGAGAACCCAAGAAGAGGGTAAAGAAAAAAGAAATGAGGACCATGACTAACACTTATATTTAAGAACACAGAGGAAGAAATAGTGATAACAAATTGCATTTTGAATGAGCAAAGATAAAATAAGTATAATAGAAATAAGTAATGTTGCAGAAATAACATTCTTTAAATTCTTTAAATAAATGTTTAGGGGTATCAAATATTAAAGATATTAATTAAGATAATAAGAAAAACACTATAAAGAAAACATTACATTTTAGAAAAGAGAAATTTATTCATCACTTTTTATAGCAGTCAGTAAGGATTGAACTTGGAAAAGATTGCTATAGATAAAGAAGTCAAAGGGAAATAATTAAATCTGTTAGTGGTTTATATGTGAGGAAATTTGCCAGCAATATAAGGGAGGAAATACAAATGAGAACTTAAGGAAATTTTTTGTTTTTAAACTGAATGACCACATATACGCTTGTTACAGCAGAAGGAAGCAGGAACAGGGAAGTCATACTAGGCAAAATTGGATTGGTTATTCCAAGGTTACTTTTGTTGTATGGAACAAATGGAAGTCTTGGAGCCGGGTCTGGTAACTTGTGCTGAGCAAGCAAACACCAATTCGGTTGACGTATGCCTTCCTTTTCTGTGATTGCTGAGCACAGAAAAGGTTTGGTTTGCTGATGAGGGATTTAGCTTGAGTGATTCCATCTTGGGTCTAATCCGGTTTCTTTAATGGCTTCTTGTTTAAGAAAGAAACAGAGTCACTAATGGGCGGGGTGGGGGGGAAGTCCTCATAGAATGGGAAATAGTAGAAATAGACAACAGAGGAAAGATTTACTTGCTTAACCCTGTAGTTGGCTTTGAAATATATGATACAGTTAGGCTCATAAGAAAATCCCAAAGGCTGGGACATTCAGTATCTTCTCTATATTTTCCTAGAGTTTTTGTGTCACATACGGTTTATTTGACTTCAATTTCAGTTTCTATTGGATACAATCCCCATTTTGCCAAAATGAACCTATATTCAGTCCAACATTGTTACTTGTTTCCATAAAAAGTAAATTCCTTTTAATAGTTTGGAGCTTTTGTAACTTTTTTTTTTTAAGATTTTATTCATTTGAGAGAGAGAGAGTGAGAGTGACAGAGAGAGCACAAGCAGGGTGAGAGGGGGAGGCAGACTCCTCACTGATCTGGGAGCCCAACATGTGGCTCGATCCCAAGACATGGAGATCATGACATGAGCTGAAGGTAGATACTTAACCAGCTGAGCCACCCAGGTACCCTGCATTGGTAACTTTTTTTTTCATTATGTTAATCACTATACCCTTGGTAACTTTTGTAGTTTCAGAAGCACATTGTGAGAGCCATCCATTTTTTCATGACCCAACTCCACTTTACTCCTCTTCCTCCTCTCTTAACTTCTTAAATAGCCAAATTCCTCCTTTGTCTTACCTGGTTCTGTGTGTAGAACAATTTCACCATATTCAAGTCCTATAGAGAAACATTTTGCCCCAAATGACTTTTCTCATCCATTGACTGTTCTTCCAAAGAATTCTTGATTTTTTTTTTAAGTCTTCTAAGAAAGATAAAAGTTCATCTTTTATTGGTTGGTTTTGGTTTCTAATATGAGAAGGAGGGTAAGGCTCAAAAGTTGCTTCTGTGACAGTCTCCCTGATCTTTTCAACATGAAGAGTTTTTCTTTTCTTATTCAGTGTTGTCCTTCTTTCATATGATCAACCACATTCTTTTCAGCAAAACACTTTCCCTCACTACTTTGCAAATTATTGTATATATTTTTAAATGATTGACTTTCAAGTTGTCAGTCTAGAAGATTAAAGAAGTAGAATTTTCCTTTTTCCATTGTTTGAAAGTAATTACTTAGCATTTTTTTAGACAATTTAAAAGATACTCTGTCCCACTTATCCTTACCTCAACATATGTGTGTATAAACATTTAGTTAATAACTCATCCGTGACTGATAGTTTTAGCAATTATTTTTGCAGAGGAATCTAGGTAGGGAAGCTTTCAACCCACTAGCTATCACTACATTCATAAAATCACTAAATATTCATTATTTTTACACAAATAAAATTTAGAAAACCTTTAAATTTATTCCTTGTTTAGCCCGAAATGCAATAACTGACACTGTTTGACATAAAGTGGTTAAAACCCTAAATTCTTCATGAAATAACTTCATGGCCCAATAAAATGGTTATACATTTTTTTTTCAGTGACACTTTTCCTTGCTTTAATATTTTTTGTCTTTTTCTGCTTTTGAAATGAGCTCTCAATTACAAAATATCAAACTACACTATGGAGA